TCAGAATCTCTATTTATTCTTTTGTTCTTCTAAGCAAGCTCACAGCCCACTTTAGTCCTCTGCCATAAAGCCTACATTATACTGCTTTAGTGCATAACACCTTTCTAAGTGCTTTCACATCTTATGGCCTCATTTGAAAAAGGCATTGTAGGAGCTTGATGAGGACTTTTTGAAAGAGCTTTTTGATCCTTATACTGACCCTTTTGACAGGATTTTTCCTCTCAGATTAATGGATGGGGAAACTGAGGCTCAGAGATTAAAATAACTTGCTCAAGGTCGAACTTGCTAGTTATATGTTGAGTTATTAAGGACCCACACACCCTAGAGTACTCTGATTTTTCATTGCGTATGTTGCTTAGTTTGTCACCTTCATTTAACAACTGTTTATTTATTGATTACCTAATATGTGCTGGTGATAAAGTGCTAAACAAGAGATGATAACCCCCGCCTTCTTGGAGCTTGTATTCTTGTATTAGGTTTCCTTACCAGTCTTAAGACTGGCGCCTGCTGAAATAGTTTTTTAAGGTTTAATATTGTTAGTCTTAAAATTTCTTAAGGTATTAAACAGCTGATTTCAGGACATTTTCTAATTACATTTTTTCCATTTTTTTTTCTGGGTTCATACCTTAATTCATAAACATTTTATTTATATTTTCTACTTCAGAAATCAAAAACTTTGATTCCTTTAACCTAGTTCCTATTTGCCCTGAGAATATTTGCCGGCAGCACTTGCAGCTGCAGCATTTCCCCAAGATAAGTTGTGGATTACAGTCCTAAACTTACCCCAAAGTTTGCCATGAAATATCTTGCTTTTATTATAATTTTTTTTGCATCGCTCTAATCCAGGGGTCCCCTGGTCCCAGGCTGCAAACTGGTCTGGTCTGTGATGTGTTAGGAACTGAGCAGCACAGCAGGAGGTGAGGGGCGGGTGAGCAAGTGAAGCTTCATCTGTATTTGCAGCCGCTCCCCAGTAGCATCACCGCCTCAGCTCCACCTCAGGTCATCAGGCATTAGATTCTCATAGGAGCACCGATCCCTGGTGCCAAAAAGGTTGGGGACTGCTGCTCTAGCATATTGATAGTCTTTGGAAACAAATGACATCATTCTACTTATAGTATTCTGTTTTCAGTAGAGGTAGGTATTTCCATTTTCAAAATATAGTAATTCTTGATCGCTGAAAATGTCAAATCCTAGAAAGCATAGCATTCCTACGCGTGATGTTAACATCTTTCTCGGTCATTAGCCGAAAATTCTTTCGATGAATCTGATTTATGTATATGTTTCTGTTACATTAGGATTAGAGGCAAGTTCTGTTTAGAAATAACTCCAATACATTTTTATATTTTATTTTCACATTGAAAACCGGTCAGATTTGTTTCAGCCTCAAAGAGCGTGATTATGTAAAATTAAATTAACGCTGGCAGTGAACTGCACTTTTTTTTCTAAACAGGAAATGAGTTTAAGGCACACCGGAGGTGTAATAAATTCTTCAGTAAAAATAATCAAATAACCAAAGCATTTTAATTTGATTCTCGTCATTGATTTTAACCACCATCCAGTCTATTTCTATCTGTTTCTGAATTTGACAGTGGCCTTTGACCAAAAGCAGTCATGTTCTGATGATTATATTTGTGAATATTAACATGTTCTGTTTTTATATCTCTTTTGTCCACTATTCAAAATTTAATTGTATATTCTTCCTCATACAGATACCTGTATTTCAAAAGATGTCCTTGAAAGAGGGTTTCAGTATCTTCAGACACAGAGTTTTGGAAGTTTGCATCTTGGAAAATAGTTGTGATATTCCATCTATTGTAGTTAGTCCTGTTTAGGCTCATATAATTGTGTTTTGTTTTTGTTACCTTTCCCTCATTTAGAAAGCATCAGATAGGCTTGTCTCTTGCATAAGACTTTTATAAACTAAAAAAAAAAAAAAAAATTTGAAGATATACAAAATGTCCCTGATTTTTTATCCCGTGAAAAGTAGCATCTACAGGATGCAGCCACAAGAGGAATCCTCTATCATGGAAAGAAAAGCATTTTCTTTCAAGTCCTTGAAAATTTATGAGTAAATTAGGTGGAAGAATTCACTGCTATTATCAAAAAGCTTTTGATTTCTCACTTTTATCTTTCTCATTTTCTGAGCTTCATTGTATTCACTTGAGTTGGGAATGGAACCTAGTGAATCATGTTATTTTTAAAGGGTATCTTTTGATTCCTACTGGTCAGTTTTTCTAGCATTAAAGATTTTCTTTTTGTATCTTGAATTGATTTCTTGGAATTATTCAAAGTACTTATAAACTGATCTTTCTTTTTTCCTACCTGTTCTAAAAATAAATAGCTGGAGCATATTGTTTGGTTTATTTGGAAAGAAGTGTTATTTGAATGAAGCCGTTACATAAATGCTGTAGCACCAAAAACTGCTTGTCATCCTGAATGAGGACAGTTGTCATTTCAAATAAATTGAGCAGCAGTCCTAGGTTTAGTGCTTAGGATGGTCTCTAACATATCTTTTAAGCGCCGTGTAGACGTTTTAAAATTTTTATCATTAGAATATCAGTTTTCTGAGAATAGGAATTTTGTTGTTATTGAATCAGCATATAAAAACATAGTAAATGGCATGTTATCTAGAAATTCTGTTGCGGATCTTGTTTTCTCAGAGTTTAATCTCTAGGCTAAGCATCACAAATTGATACATTTTATTGTTCTACCCAGTAATACTGGAGGTCAGTTTGGAAATTAGGTACAGTGTGATTTCAGTATAATGTTGCTTGCAGTGGAAAAAAAATAATGGAAAAACCAACCTCTCCTGGATTACAGGTTTTCATAGAATCCTAGTTCTAGAAGAATCTTAGTGATTTTTCAGATCTTACGTGAGGCTCAGAGCAACCCCACAACTCCTAAATTCAAGTAACATGTAATCTGATGGTGCATATTAAAATGCTTTGTGAGTTCTCAAGAGGTTTACGCTGTAGCTCTTCTTAAAGAACCTGAGACTGGTTGAACTTGTAAATTTCTTCCTGCTCTAAAAGTCTCTGAGTATATGACTCTTTCCTGGTTTGGGGCAGGCTTCTTAATGCTCTAAAGCATGGAACTCATCTGGTCAATTTTCATGCATCCTCGACAGTAGAATATAGTGGTATGTTGCGGAAACCTGGGGTAGAAAGGCCCCAGACATACTGATAATCGGGTAGTGCTGTTCTTTGTTCAGGTTTAAAAAGGTGTATTGGAGGGATTTCTCTGTATATGCAGCTGGATAGACCAGACTAGCTCCTTCTGTCTATAGGGCCTCCGCACATGCTGATCCTTCACCCAGACTACTTTCTCCCCACCTCCCCAGATATTTATTATGTCTCAGGTCAGTATTACTTTCCTCTTGAGCCCCCTGGTAGATCACATTCCTGTTATTATATGTGCTCTCTTTTGCCTTCAGGGCATTTTAAGCTCTTTATAATTACCCATTTCTGTGCATTTTCGTTTGATTCCATTGGTCCTGTAGACTATAAGCTCAATGTAAGCAGGAACCATATTACTCTTGTTCTTCATTGTGGTCTCCTGATATAGCCCAGTTTTTAGCATGTAGAACTGATCAAATATACTTTTTGAATGAACTTCCTAAATGTGACATTTAAAACCTTGCTTCTGAGCTAAAGCGAGGCATTATTAGCATGTAGGTAATTTCAGATTGCTGTTTTGATGCAGGGCAGGGTACCTAGTCACAAAATTAAAACAATTGATTATATTAAAATTTTAAAAGCTGAAAATATAATAATTTGTTTTTGAATCTTGTTATAACTGTCCATGTCAAAATAGCCAAATCAAAGTTCTTACATTAAAATTCATACTTGTGTCCCCTGCCTGGCCTCCTTTCGTTACTTTTGCTTAAATCTCATCCACTGTAGAAAGCCTTCCCAAATTAGCCTTCTTCAGTGTTAGTCCCCAGAGTTAGCCAGAGGTACAGGAGATGACATTGTGACACACTGATTTTAGATTGCTTTTATGTTTTCATCTGTGGATTTTAAGGTCCTATGAGAATTGCTGGCCTTGCAGCCTCAGAGGTAACTCATCCCCATGCCCTTTTCTCCAGGCTCCCTCTGCTTCTGCCATGTAATGCCTGGGATTCTTCCTAAAGGTGGATTCTAATAAAATGTGTTGAATGACTGACAGAAAACTGAGGCAATAATCTATATTAACTTGGAAACCACTTTCAAATTACTAAGGGTGGCTGCTCATTATTTGCAAAAGTAATTTGATTTTACTCTTAAGAGAATTTGTGAGAAACACCAAGGAAAGTTCTTAAAACAACACAGAGGTGTGTGTGCGTGTGTGTGTGTGTGTGTGTGTGTGTGTTTGGTGTGGTGGTGGTGAGGATGGGACCAGGTACTGAAATTCTCTATAACCAAGCTGGTGTTCATATTCAGTAGGCTTTGGGGGAGTTTTGGGGATCAGGGGAGCTTTATTTGCTACCTAAGTTTTCAACTAAGAATGGCTTTAAAAATGTTTAGTGAACTGAAAGCATTATGTGTCAGATTTATTCCCAGGCCTTCCCCGCTTTCACTATACCATGTGTTGTTGTTTCACTGTTAAAATGAGACAAAGGACAGACTGCATTGGGAGAAGGGTAATTCTAAAGGAAATGGAAATAGGAAGTGAAAGTGCACATCTTTGGGCCTCCTAAACTATTGTTCATAGCCCCAGGAGAGAGGTTGTTAACGGAAGAGGTACGCAGTCTTCACTTACACTAGACAGGGCACTCTACACCAGGAAGCAGAAGTCCCTGGCTTCCTTTTTTGAAGCAGTGAGAATAATATCTTCTTTGATATTTACACCCTAAGATGCCTCTCTGTCCTCATCAATTTTTTTTTTTTTCCTTTTTTCTTCCTCCCAAATGCTTTTTCCTGCCTGCTTATGATTTGGGCTGCTTCCTTAATGAAAGTGTCCTCTTATTTTCTCATGCAATTGCCCATGCAGCTGATTTACTTATTTATCTTTGTCTTTAGCTCAGCTCTGAATGGAATTTGGAAAGTAGAGAAGAAAATCTAGTCTGCTTTTGGGGGATATTGGACAGCCGAATAAATGCAGGTATGTACATTTGTATATGAAAAAAGACAAAAAATAGCTTTAAAAAAGAATAATGAAACTGATCTTGAACCTGTACTATATCCTTTAGTTCTTAGATATCAGTATTTTAATTTTGTTCATTCCAAATGTTGAGTGTGTTGTTTTAAAAAAAAAAAATCTCAAGTATAAAAGTATATGAAGTACAAAGTAAAAGTTAAATTTCTTTGTAATCCCTCCTAGATAGTTACCATTTTAAACAATTTATTGTATGTTTTTCCAGCTTATATGACCAAAAGAATGATAATATACATATTATGCTTTTTTTTTTTTTTTTTTACTTTGTAGTATGTCTATACATCTTTTGATGTTGGTTCATATAGCTTTATGAGCTTCAACTTTTTAAACAGCTGCATAGTATTCCTTTGTGTTACTGTTGCTTATTTTGTTTAATGAGTCCTTTCCTATTGGACATTGTTGGTTGTATTTTTGTTTTTCATTTCAAATAGTGCCACACCTTGTCCATATATGATTATGTATACTGGCCTGATTATCTTCTTAGAGTGAAAAGATGTAACATTGGCATTGAATTCTTCCCCTGCCATGTCTATATAGAATCTCAAGAACGAAGGTTTATCTCACATTATGAAGCAAACTTTAGTTACTCTGTTTTCCACCTCTACTTATCATTATGGGGTAGATTTGGGGGCTCGTCGCTGAGTTTTAGAACTTTCTTGCTTAACAGTTGATCTGAACCTCAAAGTAAGTTATGAACTTTAGTCTTTCAGCCTAATTTCTGGAAGAGTCTGTTTTCAGGTTTATTTTAGAGGTTAAACAAGTAAAATTAAATGCCTCTCAGTTTGTAGCCTTGAGGCATATCTGGTTCATGTCCCTCTTGTAACTATCTTCTTACCTCATCAGGGCAGCTCATGGACCAAGCACATGAATTTAGTGAAGAGAGCTGTGACTATTGTCCACCTTATATGACTTTTCTAGTTTTGACGACTTCCTTGGGTCATTCTGCAAGCACGTAAGGCTCTGTGCTAGGTACTTGGGATACAGAGATGAATGACACAGTCCTTGTTTTAAGGGAAGTGACTGTGCACGTGAGTGAGAGACAAACAAACACATGAATAGGCTTCGTAATTCCGTGTAGTTAGTGCAATATGGTGAGTCTGGGAGAGGGCATCTGTTTTAGGAAATAAGATTGAGGTTCAGAGGCAGCTTCCTGGAGGAGGTAATGTCTAGCTCAGTTTTAAAGAAACTTGAAGTTTGCCCTGAAAGGGTTGAGGTAGAAAGGTATTCCTAATAGAGGAATCAGCATGAGCAAGGGCAGGACGGTGAGAAAAACAGCATTGGGGGGGTGGGAGGGTGGGGAGGGGGTAGGGGCAGGTAATAAGAAGATGGTAGCTTTGTTGGTTTGAAGCAGGAAGTAAGGCTAGGGGTGATAGAAGCTGACACTCGTGAGGCTAGCTGGCTTAGGTGACGGAGGACCTCTGTTAGGAGTCTGAGATTGGTCTGTAGATTAGTGGGGAGCTTTTGGAGAATCTGATTTGTGTTACGGAGACATTACTTTGGGGGCTAAGTGAAAGTTGGCTTGGTAGGCAGGAGGAAAGTTAGGAACCTTGGGCTCAGGGAAATTAGTTTGTAAGTCATTGGTATTGGGGTGAGGAGAAGAAAGAATATATAGGGCTTTCCCTTGTTCCCTTCTCCTTTCTGGCCTTGCCCAAGACTAAGTTGCTGGGGTTGGCTCTTTGATCCTAGTTGTCCTCCCTTTTGAGGGAGCTCACACGAATGACTTATTTGCAAGGCTTGTCAGCAGAGGGTTCTGACCTTTTCAAAGCAAGGCTTCTTGCCCTTATTCTGCTACCACAATGTGCTGCCCATCCTCCTGCCTGCCCATGGGGTGATGGCAACCTGGCTCCGCTAATTAATTTTTTTGAGCCTTCCTTGTGGCTTATGAACATGAATTGCTAGTCATTTTGTGTGCATTACATTAGAGCCAGCCCCAGGTTACTGCCCTCACTGAGCTTGCAGTTTAGTGGAGGATAGGCATAAAATTAAAAAACAGTGTAATTCATGCCATAGGTGTATTCAAAAGTTAAATGATTCCAGTAGAAGTAGCAGCAGTATTAGTAATATTAACTATTAATGGTTCCAGAGTGAACCACATTTTCAATTATGACTTGTGTGCAAAGAGAACAATAAATTTGAGCCATGTCTAAAATTATTCTGAGTTTTGAGACTATGGTCTGACCATAATTAATTAATTAGAATGCATAATTGATTATTTTCCATAGTTTCACCTCTCGTAAACTCTGATGCATGCATTTGACTTTCAGGGAGGGAAGGGGCAGAAATACCACATATTTCTGCTTGTTTATCTTCATAGCACTCTCTTTTACCACCGGAACTTTTAGCACATGGAATGACCACAGTCTCATTTTTCTTACAGTATCTAAATATAAAAGAGGACTGCAATGCCATGGCTTTCTGTGCTAAAATGCGGAGCTCCAAGAAGACCGAGGTGAATCTGGAAGCCCCTGAGCCAGGGGTGGAAGTGCTCTTCTATCTGTCGGATAGGGAGCCCCTCCGGCTGGGCAGTGGAGAGTACACTGCAGAGGAGCTATGCATCCGGGCGGCACAGGAATGCTGTGAGTACTGGCAGCAGTGCCCAGGGCCCAGGGCCCATGGCAGGTTTTGGTGGCACACCATCCCAGAAGCACATCTGGGTAACTCTGCCCCTGGTAGCTCTCCTGAGTGGAAGGAGGTGTGGGCTCTGGGAGTCAGGAGTTCTGCCCTGTCTCTGCCACTTACTTGCATTTAACCTTAGGCCAGTGGTTTGAGAGTTTCACTTTATCACAAAGTGGCTTAGTCTTGCTCTGTCATTAATGAATGTGGGATACTAAAGAATGATGCTTGCCTTCTGTGGAGGCTCAGTTTTTATTTCCCACCACCCCCATCTGTGAAATTGGAATAATATCAGCACTAAATGAGCAAAACACCTACCACAAAATTACATGCTCATTAAGCGGCATGTAATTTTAATAATTGCTCAAAATTTCTTTTGAAAGGTGCAGTCCATTCTTCTGTTTCTATGACCTGCTTCCTCCCCTCAGCTTCCACCCACCCATGTGATGCTGAGTTGAAGTGAGAAACTGAGTGTTTGCGGGTTGGTCAGATTGTCAAATTGTGAAAAGGACAGTGAGGTTGTGAACAGCACAATCCATTTTTTTAAAGTAAAGCTTGTTTTATTAAAGTTGCTGATCGCCCTTGAAAGGTGTACACCAAACTGACTTAACAAAAAGAAGCCTCTTGAAATCTGAGGTCATTGGTAGTTTTTGCCTACCTACATTTAAATGACAGTTAAATCATAGAAACTTATAGATCTAATCCACTTAGATCCTAGTGATGGTTGTACAACTCTATAAATATACTAAGATTCATTGAATTGTACCCTTGAAATGAGTAGATTTTATGGTATATGTATTACTTCTCAAAAAAGCTGCTTTTTTTTTTTTTTTTAAATCAACTCATTTTATGATGATGAAGTAACTGGCTGTGATTTCGGACAGTCAGACATGTTTTATTTATATCATCTTTAGTCCTTAGAACAGCTCTGTGGGGATAGTATGGTTATTTCAAGAATCATCCACCTCGTTTATAATACAGCTTATCTAGAAAACCCATTTTCTTTTCGATATATATCTTTCTGACTAAAATGCTTTAAATATCAGAGTTCCAATAAAAGAGAGATAAGTGCTATAAGGAAGAGTATAGTAGACCTTTACTAACTGAACAACACTAGATAAAGTTGGCTGAGCTATAGATTATTAGGGGGAAATGCATTAATGTTCTAAAGTTATTGTAACTACATAGCAAAGTATATCACCTTTAAAAATATTTGTAATTAGCAAAACAAGTAGATGTAAATTGATGCTTCTAAAGTATTTTCAAAAGGCGTTGTTCTTTTCTCTCTTCTCTTGAGATTTCGTTTATATTGTTTGTTGTCTTAGCCAAGCTTCTTGCTGTAAAGCATAGCAGGTGTATATCTCAGTTTGTTAGCAAGGATCATTTGTGCAGAATCATTGGGCTACAGTTAATGAGAGATCAGGGAACTGCTGCTAAAGGAGATGAGAGCAGAGAGTCTGTGAGTCTGAAGACAGCCACAGCCACTGGGTCTCCTCTCTTTCTGGGCTCAGAGTCAGTCGCTTTGGGGCATCAGTTTTCAAGCCCAGTTTGTAGAGCATAAATGATCTCTTTTGTAACCAATCCAGGAGAAAGTTGCAAAATTTTTTTAATTTTAAAAATATGTGAATATGGAGTGCCATATATTTTTGTAGCTCTCATTATTATTATTTTATAGTAAGTGAGGTTTGGGGGCAGTATTATTTTCTTCCCTGTTTTCTTACTATTATATGGCAAATTTTTGTATTTTTAGCTCTCATTATTTCACCTCCTTGGTAGCTCTATCTTGGTTTGAATCCCAGCTCTGCATCTTATTCGCTGAGTAACCTTAGATCAGACTGTCTTGGGAGGCCATTTCTTCATCTATAAAATGGCAAAAATAATACTTACCTCACTAGGTGTTAGAATTTAATGATAAAAAAATTAAGAGTGTGTTAGATGCCTGATGCCTGACACTTAGCCCACAGTAAATGTTAGTATTGTTGTTATTATTCCACACTTTTATATAAAAAGATATGTTTGATCTTTCTGTGTATAGGTACTAATATTGTTAGAATCAGATCTGTGATGGAGTTACAAACAGATCCATGATTATAAATCAGTTATGCTTCAGATGTGTATGTCAGTGCACATTCAGATATGGATACGCATAAAGAAAGGCTAGGTTTCCAGGATAGTCCACAAAGGCCGATTTATTATTGAAAAACTGTAATATGGCAGAAACATAGTCCTAATAATACTGGAACCAAAAGCCACTTGCCATTGTTCCCAAGAAATAATGCTGTTTTGAAGTTTAGCTCGATCTTTATGATAGAAGGAGGAGTTAACTTCTAAAGGGGTAATTCCCAGATATCTTTAAAGGCAGGCATTGAGGCATTCAGCAGAGGCATCGAGATGCCAAGGCATTTGTAACTTCTTAACTCAGTGTGTTCATTGGAGAGAGTTCCTGTCAATGTCACTCTCACTCTGAATGCCTAAATTGGGAAACAAGTACCAGTTACTTCATATTCTCATATGTTTTTCAGTTAAGTTCACTGTATCTCAGTTTGAGGCCTAGCCGCACATGAAAATGTCAGTCAGTATGGATTATTTGCAGTCATTTTCCTCCTTTTCTCACCTGTTTTTAGATTGCATATCTGTATAATTTTAATCATGGGCTCAGAAGTGAGTGAAATGGTGCTTTCCTGACTTCATAATCTCCCTTATCTTTTTGATCATTCTCGAATCGAAGGAGGCAGTTGGTGGGGTGGGGAAGCCCAATTTGGACCACCTTTGTTAAGCATATATCTTCTCGTTAGTTGGCTACTAATAAAAAATATTTATGCTAACTCTACAGAGTACTCAAGAAGTGTATTTATTATTAATGGTAATAGATTTTAATCACTGACACTTTGGTTATTTATTCTAACACAATTTGGTTATTTATTCTAACACAATTTTATGTACTATTGCCAGGAACTTCTTTGCATGTTTAATGTATAATTGCAGTATGTTAGAATTGTTTAAACAGTTTCTGTAGGAGACAGATTGGGGACTTCTCAAACTCCAAAATGTTTCTGACTGTGGTTAACAAGGTAAATATCAGGTGGGATCCAGCAACTTCAGATGACCTTTTTTTTTTTAAAGCGGGATTTGATAAGACTCTGTCATAGACACTGTAGTGAGAAATATTATGAGACATTCATTTTAAAATGTTTTTAATTTGGTTTGCCAGGAGCTATAGTGTATATTCCTAGGGAGCCATAGTTCTTAATTTTTATGATTCAAACTGTCTGATTGAACATGATTGGAAGTCATATTTGCCCTAAGAGGATATGAATGTGACCTAGATTTTTTTTGGATGAGAGAATTTCTTACCTTTGCATATGTCATACATTGGAAACAGATGGCCAAATGTATCTGTCTTCACCTTTCTGGTGTATTCTTTACTTTTCCCCAGGTATCTCTCCTCTGTGTCACAACCTTTTTGCCTTGTATGATGAGAACACCAAGCTCTGGTATGCCCCAAATCGCACCATCACTGTCGACGATAAGACTTCGCTTCGGCTCCACTATCGGATGAGGTATGGGTGCCTGCCTGCCTGGCCTTCTAATGCAGGAGGGATTAGCCTGGAGCCCTGACTCACTTACCAAGAAAGATTGTAGTCATTTTTGTAATTTATAAGTTTTGTATTTGCTCGGTATGAGAAAGAACTTCTTCAGTATTTGAAATACAGTTCAAGATGAATTTGATCACTGGCCTCTGCCAAATTATAGAAGAGAACTCATTATGATGCAGAGGGTATTTCGAATTGAATTAGCATATTATAGCAGAGTTTTTCAAATGGTGAGGTGAGTCATGGTTATGAATTTAATTTAGTGACTTGTGACCAGAATTTTTTTAAAAAAGAAAGAGGCAAGAATAGGTAATATCAGCATATATACATATCCTAAGAATATTGTCTTTGAAAAGTTTTGTTTGAGATAATATATGTACTAGGTTATCATATAATAAAATATATTTCTTACTAAAAGGTGCAGCTAAAGAGATTGAGAAACACTGCCTGAAGTGATATCCTAGAAATCCTAGGTCGGTCTTGCTCTCAGAGGGTGGATGTTTTGAAGGATTTTGTTTAGTGGGGCTGTGATTTTCCTTCTGATGGGTATTTGCCTTTTCTCCCATATTGTAGACTTGGTTAAATGTCACACAGTCTCCCAAGGTGGCATAGATAGTCAGTACTTCATTGCCGTTGTAGTCTCTTGAGTTTATAAGCGTATTTGCTTTGTACCTGAATTGAACGTAGTTCAGCACAAGTTAGCGTGTGTTTAACAAAGGAGCTTATAAATAGGATGAATACTTTTTGAAAAGGATCTTAACTTACATGGATGTGATTAAATCAGTAGGTTAGTTCAGGTGCTGATGCAATGCAGGGACATGCTGGAAAAGCCCTTGGGAGATCTTGGAGGCTCTCCACATATCTTAGCTGCCATTTCCTTTGGGAGTCAGTAGAGTTGTTAACGTTCTAGAATGGTCTGAATGTTTTTCTCAGCAGATGATGAACCAGATCTACTTTTTGGATAATCACATAGGGCTGACTTTTTCTCTTCTTTTTGTACTCACCCAAGGTCTCACCTTAGGAGAGGTGTGTGCCATGTGTGAGATTTCACGCCCCAGATTTAGGGAAGCATTCACTCCGCCCAGCTGAGCCTTCCGACTATATTTGGATTTGTTTTTCAAAGTGTCATCTTGCTTTCTGTGGCCTGGTGGTTGGCTGTGTGATCCAGCCTTCAAACGTGTATTTGCAGCTCCCCGTCTAGGAAGGGGACATGTCACTGAATTCTGGTTCTTTCCCTTTAGGTTCTTCCACTTGGCTAGGAATCTCCACTTTGGTTAGAATGGTAAAATTTGGGACTGGGAAGAAACCTGAGCTTCCCTAATTCAGTTCTTCCAATATTTTAGACACTGATGTCTAAAAAGAGAAGTGAGTTTTCCAAAGTCACACAACTAGTGAATTGTCTTGTTAGCACAGCACCCTTTTTGAGACATGTCGGTGGTGTGAATGCCTTGCTATTAAAAATGTCTGCCTGCTCCCCATTCTGTTAGGGGCCAGGAAGTGCATTGCTGCTTCATTTTTGGCACCTTGACTTTGTACCTGACATTGCTGCTTCAACAGGATATTGCTTTGTTACCACAGGCTCTTTGAACTTGGAAGAAAAGATCTCACCCTAAGCTAAAAACATTTGCATTACAACAAACTACAAAAAATCTGAAACCTCGTTATCTCACCACTAAAGAAGGTGTAATATCAAAATAAATGTTGGTGGCTATTTCAGTGGAATCCCAGCTCTATTTTGGGAAATACTCTTGTACTTTAAGTTTTCTGTTTTTAGATAATGATTTCGATAGTTATTGTTTTATAATATATGTTAATATAAAACAAGCATATTCTTTATTCCTTTTTAATAAAAATATTTTTTCATCCAAATGAATTTCATATCCAGTAGTAAAGTTCTATAGAAACCTAAAGAGAATTTGTTGTATATAATACCTGTACCTAAACTTAGAATTATGCAGTTATCTCTAATATAATTTTCTCAGAAATGTGCAGGGAAGACATATATCTGATTGATGTCTGTCTAATCTGTCTATCTCTTTCTCTCTCCTTTCTGCATTATTCATCCACATCATTCTGAAAAGGAATTTAGGCGGCTATCAAACTACATTTATTTATGTCATTCTTTATTTTTTTTCCATTAGCATGTTAATATTAGGAATTAGCGTTTGCCTCAAGTTTGATGAACATCTTCATAATTAATTTTAAAAAGGAGTGTAGAATCTTTTCAATGTAGCTTCCAGTTTTGTCTTATTGAGACAAAATTAGGAAGATTTTAATTTTGGCCATCACCCCTTTAAAGTTTTTTTGTTTTGTTCTTTTTGTTTTGTCATCTTATTAGATGGAAAGGTGTCAACTTTTGACTACAGGCAATTTCTAGTGATCCAGCCTTGTTTTAGGCTCCCTTCCACCTTTAGTGAAGTGGAAAAACTCCACGTTATCTTTGATATCCTCAGCCTAGTCCTTTTTGAACATCTTGCCAAAGCCAAAGCCAGTCCCAGAGGGCTCACATAGCAGCCTTGAAGAATGTCCTTGTTCAGAATGAAGATTGCATTCTGCCCAGAGGGAGTAAGTTGGGCCCTTGGCTCTGCCAGGTCCAAGGACTCTTTATCTATAGAGACTCAGCGGGATGTAGAAGAAGGGGACCATGGCTTGGACTCATTCAGGGAAAATCTGTCTTCAGGGCTTCTCTTTCAGACAGCCTCCTCCTTCCTTTCCCCCATTAACCCAGGTAACCTACCATATTGTACATAATTCTCATTTTCTTATCACCATCTTCCTTTACTGTCAGACAGAATTTACCTGTCCTGTCTTCATCCTGTTTAGACCCTTTCACCTATCGCCTTCCAGGCAGACACCAAGAACTTCTAGTAGATCTCTAGTTATTGTATGAATGATGCGAATGCTCCATTTTGGGTTTTCCTTGACTGTCAGAGGAGTTGGCCATGTCCTTGTCCCTTTATTTTTTCTGTCCCAATGTCAGATTTCCCTGTATCTGCTCAGTTGGTGGAGCTGGTTCACCTTTTACTTTCTGCCTGCTCTGGAGAGCTGATCCCAGTTAAGTCCTCTGGGCTTGTGTTCCCTTCTGCCCTTGGAGAGCAGACTCCCCAGCCTGGGGACAGCATGAATGCCAGCCTTTTTATCAGCCTCAGGCTTCTACTGTTACCAGTGCCCGATGCCCTGCCATGTTAGTGGGTGCAATGACAGTCCTGTAGCTGAGGTTTATGCTGCATGTATGCTCCATGACAGGTGTGTCTGAGTTTAATTGCAGCTGTTTTTTGGGAGGAAATTTTATTTGTTGTTTCTCCATGCTGTGGTTGTTTTTCATCAGCCCATGAACATGTCAAGGGAGAGAGACCCAGGCACCAGCTGAGTCTAGAGATGGCCTGGATCAGCTTGGCTCAGTCACTTTCACACATTTCGGAGCTTACTGTGTTTCTCTTGCAAATGCAGAGGAGAGTGGCAGTTAAGAGAACAGGCTCGTAGTCTTAGTTCACCTTTTGGGACCTCAGATTTCCTCATCTGTAAAATAGAAACAATGAAATCTACCTTGTATAGTTGCTGCAAGGGTTAAATAACATATATAAAGTGCTTATTATGCATTCATAACACTGCAAGCTAATGCTTATAGTAATAATGTTCATGTATTTCTTCTATTTTAAAACTTTATTGTAAGATAAACCATCAATTTAATAACAGCAGTCTAGGAAATAGGAATCTGCCATATTAATTGTACATCTTGGCTGTATGATGAAACTAGATTTCAGAAATGTTAAAATGCGAATAAAATAGGTCTTGGATTCAAGGCAGGATGGCATTATTAAAGGTAAAGGGAGTTGGTGGGCTACTTCTAGTCAACAGTGTTTTCCTATTTAGGAAGGTGTAGTGAAAAGTCAGAGGATCTATCTTTGCGATCATAAGGAAGTCACTTTATCTCTCTGAGTCAAAGACCACGCTTTTCACAGAATACTTGTAGGAATGAAAAGAAAAGGACATTATGAACAATCAAGTACTAAGCAGGCAAATTATTTGTCTGCTTGCTTCTCAGCGAAAGTTAGCCTCTGGCATCGATAACGCTGAGTAGAACCAGCACAACTTTCCCACACATTTCTAGGTCCTCTTTCCCGCAGTTGACATTTTCCTGCCTTCCAGGTTCTATTTTACCAACTGGCATGGGACCAATGATAATGAGCAGTCAGTATGGCGACATTCTCCAAAGAAGCAGAAAAATGGCTATGAGAAAAAAAAAGTTCCAGATGCAACTCCTCTCCTTGACGCCAGCTCCCTGGAGTATCTGTTTGCTCAGGTAAGAAGTTTGGGCCCAGGAGAACCTGGAGTTCATGGAATGGGTGTGGCACTGTAGGGTTCAGATTCCTTGGTGCAGGTGAACTTGGTGGTAGCCAGGACATTTTATGGCCTGTCCCGTGGGCCGTTCTTGCCACCCCTGGGCTTGCCCCATGTGAAGAGGGGGAAGGCAGCAATTCAGTGTCCCAGGAGGCTGGTTATCCCACTTTTGGGCTTTCCAGGCTTCACTTCTTCCCTCTCTCTTTGTTTTCCCCCTCATCTTCTACTTCTCCCCTTTACTTCTCATCTGCAGTGCCCTCTGTGGAGAGAGCAGAGGAAAGCTGTGAGAGAGGGAAGGTATAGTGCAGTGGGTCTAACAAAGGCACTTCTCGGCAGTCACAGTGCCATTTGGGGAGGAAGGAGGTGGCCACTTTCTATCACACAGTGGTAGAAAGACTAGACACTAGAAAAAGCCAGAAGAAAACTTAGAGTCACCTAAATGACATTCCCCTGAGAGAACATATATATATCATATATTATATACATCACATCTGTTAGGTGGAGTTGCTGATGTTAGCATCCACCTCATAGGGCAGTTGTGAAGATTAAATGAAAAGTAAAGAAAAGAAACTTAGCACAGTGTCTGGCGCTGAGGTTAGGATTTAATAACGGGGAGCTAGCATTGATATTATCTTCACCACTCTGTACAAGACAGGTGGTGGGTATTGTTTTTAGTTTTCTTTTTCATTTTTGAAGCCGTTATTGGCTCTTGGAATGCTGCGCACCTCCACCATTGAGGGGTG